GTGCATGATGTTTTGACACATGTATGCATTGTGACGTCATTACCACAAAGCAGATAATTAATCTGTCCATCACGTCACATAGTCATCTTTTTTTTTTTTTTTTGGTGGTGGTGGTGAGAACATTTAAGATCCCTCTTTACAAATTAGATTCCCAGAACATATTTATCTAATTTCACCTCATTAAAGCTGAGAGGGAAAAAAGTAAAATAAATACATAAAAATCAAGTTTTTCTGATTTTTGTAGGTACATAGTAAGTGTATATACTTACGAGGTACATGAGCTGTTTTGATACAGGCATGCCCTGCACGATAACCACATCATGAAGAATGGGGTAGCCATCCTCTTAAGCTCTTATCCACTGAATTGCAAACAATTCAATTACACTCTTTATTTTAAAAATCTACGGTTATTATGGACTACAGTCACCCTGCTTGCTATCAAATAGCGAGTCTTATTCATGCTTTCCATTTTTTTGTAGCCATTAACCATCCCCACCTCCCCTCACAGCCCCCCACTACCCTTCCCAGCCTCTGGTAACCATCCTTCTACTCTGTCTTCATGAGTTCAAATGTTTTGATTTTTAGATCCCACAAGTAAGTGAGAATATGCCTGGACTTAATGATCTACAGTTCCATTCATGTTGTTGCAAATGACTGGATCTTATTCTTTGTTTATGGCTGATAAATAAAAATAAATAACACATTTTTAAAAAAACAAATTTAAAAGGGAAAAAGGAAGATTCATAGACCTGTCTTCCACTTGCATGCAATATCTCCTGATGGCAGGGAAAATTATCAGGGAGACTGAGTAGCTTCCAGTGCTGAAGTACCTTAAAGAATAATTGAGTTCAAAACTCAAGTTGCAAATTTCCAAAAGGAAAAGGAAATCTTCAAGTGAATTCACTGAGAGTCTAGCTGCTTCCTTACAAGTGCCACATTTGACTATTTAAAAAGTGATATATTTCTCAAGACTTGCTGTTTTTATCTACTTACTAAATATTATTGCTTGCATTATCTGTTTTACTCCCCAAACACACACTCATACCCGTGTGTGTACATATTCAAATCACTCTTAATGAAGCAGTACCTTTATATATCTTAATGCAGGTATAAGCTCTTGACACAGTTAACCACCTAAGGTTTTTGACTTTGGGATGCATTAAATGTGTTTCATTTGTAAATTACTAGTTCATAATATTGCAAAAGTCACAACTTTGAAATCACATTGAAATGGCATCAGTTAATACAATTGTAAGATTAATAAAAGGTTAAGATGGACAAGGATTGTTGTTCCAAGAGGTCTTAAAATAAGCCATCGGATAAAATAAAATCATCGATCAGAAACTAGCCTTGATTCTTTGTCTTGACCTCATGCTGTGTTTTCAAATAAATCAGGAAAATAGACTAAAGATTCAATCTTAGCATTTGAATAAAGGGATTCTTTTTTAGAGTTCCTAAGAAAACTGGAAGAATTTATGATGACACTTATTGGTAAACATGGAAATAGCCTAGATAGAAAATGCTAATACAACGCTTCAACTTTCAATGGAAACTTCTGGGGAGTTTATAAAACATTAAAATTAGGACATTTGTCATAAACCCAACAGGAATGTGAACTTTTTTTTTTTTTGAGACAGAATCTTGCTCTGTTGCCCAGGCTGGAGTGCAATCTCAGCTCACTGCAGCGTCTGCCTCCAGGTTCAAGTAATTCTTCTGCCTCAGCCTCCTGAGTAGCTGGGATTATAGACATGTAATGCCAGGCATGATGGTGTGATTTTTTTGTTTTGTTTTATTTTTGCTTTGTTTTGTTTTGTTTTGAAGTAGAGACAGGGTTTTTGTCTTTGTTTTTTGTTTGTTTGTTTGTTTTATTTTTGTTTTGTTTTGTTTTGAAGTAGAGACAGGGTTTCACCATGGTGACCAGGCTGTTCTCGAACTCCTAGCCTCAAGTGATACACCTGTCTCAGCCTCCCAAAGTGCTAGGATTACAAGCATGAGCCTCTGCACCCAGCCCAGCAGGAATATTTTTTTAAAGGTCCCAAGGTAACTCTAACGTGAAGCCAGATCAGGGAACTACTGGGTATGTCTAAAAGGACTTTATAATGAGATAGTTGGAAATGAGATAGGAAAGAACATATGCATTTCTCTAAGAAAGAGCACCTCTTCTCCTGGGGTAGCCTATATACTTTATTTTAGGATGTAAAATTGTATCTTAGTTTGGATTTAAGCAGATTTCATTCACTGGCAGCCATTTTAATAGGATTTCATCCTGATAAGTACATTTTCTGTAGTGCAAGATGGGTTTCATATGAAATATTACAGCTCTTCCATCTTCTTGTGCCTTGATTTGGATTCTTCTCACCAAAGGTAACCATTGAGGTATACATGCAAACATTCTTAATATACATAAATTCCATTGTGTTAATATATGCCATGGTCCTCTTTTTCACTCAGCTCTGTTAGTAATACCCAAGTTTGTTTGTTTGTTTGTGACAAAGTCTTACTCTGTCACCCAGGCTGGAGGGCAGTGGCATGATCTCGGCTCACTGCAACCTCCTCCGCCTCCCAGGTTCAAGCGATTCTCCTGCCTCAGCCTCTCAGTAGCTGGGATTCCAGGCATGCACCACTACGCCCCTCTAATTTTAGTATTTTCAGTAAAGACAGTTTCACCATGTCAGCCAAGCTGGTCTCGAACTCCTGACCTCAAGTAATCCACCAGCCTTGGCCTCCCAAAGTGCTGGGATTATAGGCATGAGCCACTGTGAGTGTGCAGTCTGCTGTATCCAAATGCTACACCTAATCTACCATGTTTTATTTAACCACCCACCCATAAATGAACACACAGGGATTGTAGCTTGATATCAGGAAACTTCTCATATCCATGTTCCTTATTTCTGTATGAGAATTTCTTTGCAATATATAATCAAAATCCTAATTACTGGGCCATAGGATGTGCACATAATCAACTTGACTGAGGACCGCCTCAGTCAAGTATTCTGGTAGAATACTCCAGAATGCCTCCACCTCTATGAGCACACATACAGGGTATGTGGCATTCAATATTCCCACTTACTGCCACCCATGGCACTATTCAACTCCGTTTTTTATCAGCCTAAGTGTTTTTCTGGGTCAATTCAGCTATGCTGTAACTACATTTACTAGAAATTATTTTTCTGAACAGTCCTTGGGTTGGTCATATAAGAACTTTGTGCAAGATTTGGAAGGAAGAAAGCAAGACAGTAGCCATGGTGCTCCAAAGTGGGTTTAGCGTGCAGGTTACACACACTGTCTCTAAGCCTCTGGCTCACCTCCCTAGCACTGGACCATAGCTGGGCCTGCAATTTCTCCTGCTCTCACCAAACCTCCTTTAGCACCTCTGAGTCTTGGACCAGGCACTTGCACAACTCCATAGCGATGGATGCCAGGTCATCCTTGTGGTTGAGGTTGGAAGTGAGAGGAAGATGTGGTTCCAATGTGTTCTTACGGTTCTATGCTTCAAGTGTACCTTTTTAAAAATTACTGTATAAAACACATAACATAAAATGTACCATCTTAACCATTTTTCAAGTCCAGCTTGTTTCCCAGGCTGCCAGCCCTGCTGCCCTGTAACAACAACAGGCTCACCATCAGATGCAAAAGCAAGAGCCTTCCATAGAATTATTTCCGAGTTCTCAAAATTAATTCTGATAAATCCCTTATCAATATCACTCAATCTAGTTCTGCTTACCTGATTGAACCCTAACTGCTGCAAGGTGTAAATATTATATCATGACTCTTTTCTGGTTTTCATTTCTCTATTAGCTTTTTGGACTTGTTTTCCTATGAGCCATCAGTAGATTTATTTGATTAGAATAGTATAACATACATTTCACTGAAATTAGCTTTCAATTTTAAAATGCCTTTTCAACCTTCTCTAAAGAAGAAGAGTAGATGCTAAGGAATTCTGGTGTTTTCACAGAATATAGAATCCCCTGCCCTCAGGATTGCTCCTTAATTTTAGGGATGACTTTAAATATTATTAATTTGACTTCCATTCCATTCAACCTTTTAAATATATAGTTTCACATATTAAAAACTATATAACCTTTTGAAATTCTGACTATTTTGGAAGCATCGGAGGAATATAGGATCTGTAATGAAAATGATCCATCTCTTTTTACAGTGCCTACAACAGCTTCTTATCTCGCCAAGATAAAAACTGTATGTCACTACGGGTAGTCTGGAGAGGTTTCCCCATTATGTTTGCTGTTGTTGTTGTTGAGACAGAGTCTCTCTGTGTTGTCCAGGCTGGAGTGCAGTGGTGCGATCTCAGCTCACTGCAACCTCCACCACCTGGGTTCAAGCGATTCTCCTGCCTCAGCCTCCCAAATAGGTGGGACTACAGGCCAACAAAGCTAGAGTTAGTTAGGAGGAATAAGTTCTAGTGTTTTATTGTGTAATAGGATGATGAAAGTAGAGAATAGTATATTGGGTATTTCAAAATGGCTAGAAGAGAGGGTTTTTGAATGCTCTTATTAAAGGAAATAATATTTAAGGTGGTTGGTATACTAAGTGCTCATTACCTGATTTATACATGTATTGAAACATCCATTGTAGCTGATACATACAATTGTGTCAGTCGTAATTTTTTTTAAATAAAGGAAAAAGTGAAATAGCAAGATAAGAGGTTTTAGAGCCACCCTTGTAAAATGCAGCCACATCATCCCTCTTCATTTGTACATATATATTGTCTCACACTCAATAATTTACTTTGTTTTTAGCAACCATTCACCTGCCCGGTATCCATCTCTACTAAAAACTACAAAAATTATCCAGGTGCAGTGGCAGGCGTCTATAATGCCAGCTACTCAGGAGGCTGAGGCAAGAGAATTGCTTGAACCCTGGCAGAGTTTGCAGTGAGCCAAGTTTGCACCACTGCACTCTAGCCTGGGTGACACAGTGAGACTCTGTCGCAAAAAAATAAATAAATAAAAATTTTACTTCCATATTCAAGAGAAACACTATTGCTAAACGTTAAGTTTTATTGAGAGTTATGTAACTGCTTCAATATCAATTGTTTTCTAGAGCACTAAAGTTCAGCAACTTAAGAATTACAAGCAGTAGAGTAGAGTTGCTAATGTACAAAGAGAAAGCGTAGAGGCAGACTGCCTGATTTTAAATCTTGAAGAAACACCAACAAGTTGTCAGACTCAGGCAAATGATTTAACCTGTGTTTGTCTGCTTATCTGCAAAATTGGGATAATAGTGATACAGTTTCCCCTTTAAGGTTAAGGAACTTATTGTAATGTACTTGTACCGTATTCTGACACTTAGGAAGCCCCATAGGAGTATTACCTCTTAGCTGCATGTTAACTGCCCACTATGGCAGTGTCAAATTCTTTGACAAGTAAACAACTACAGCAGCATTTTGTTGGAAATGGAATAGCACCACCTTAATTAAAAATAATAATAAATAGTATCTGGGCAAAATTTGTTTCCAGGAGAATGTGGCATCAAAACGTAGATTCAATAAGCGATTGAACAGCCAGTGGCACAGTTCAATTCTCACCCTCGATATAAGAAATCTACAAAAATCAGAAGTGTTTTTTGATAGATTACATATATAGACTCCATGTTTAAGGGAAAGAAGAGAGTATAAAGTAGGTGGTAATGATTATTTAATGAATTCCCTTAGGTGTCAGGATAAGTCTTTGCTTGACCAACTCAACCAATCAATCATTTTTGAGTGTGAAAGGACCATACTGAGGAGAAAGGAAAACCTAACATGAAATTTCAGCTAACGTAGTGGTTAGAAAATAAACTGAATTCACCTCTGGAATAATCTAAATAGGTTGTCACATTCCATTATGGTTAGGATTCAACTTTACTGATTAATAGGAAAGTCTACGTGAATTAAGGTATCTGCACATAAAAGGATTTTGCCTTTTGTGATAGTTAATACGTCAAATTATACACTAGGCTCAAAGTTTTTCGTCTTGCACATTTTTATGTCTGTCTCTGTTCTTTATTCTTCCTGAAAAATATTAGAACATATTTATTGGGGGTTTATATCAATCAAATCAAGTCATTATCATTGAAGACGTATTGCTGAATCTTCTATAGAGAACAGAAAAAAACTTAAATAAATGTATAATATGAATTACCTAATAGTTAACATTAAATTAATAAGCCATACCCCTATTGAATACAAATATTTAGAAATACACATTCACTTAACTAATCAGGACCTTTACTGAAGTAGGGTTTTTAGAAACCAGAGACTTCAGGAGAGAGATATAGCAACTGTATTTTTGCTATGAAAAAACAAAACTGTTTTCCTCCCAAATATATAACGCCACCTTCAAGTTTCCATTTCTCCTTTAGCTGAGAGCAATTTGATAGAAGATAATAATCCTAACTCTTCTGGTGTTGCCTGAAAGTCAGCAGTAAAAGGACTAGGATCCAATTTTAGGTCATTCTCAGTAGAAACTGGGGTAAGCCACACTGATTTCCTAAAGAAAAGGGAGAGAGAAAGCAGACAGTGTTGGCACACTTGGGATCAAGTCGGTTTTACCACTGTTTGATAGCGCGATCATTTTCAGGACAGTCATTCAGGAGTACGGTGTAGAGCCGGCATACTACACCTTCTAGATCCTCGTGGACTCTTGGCATGAGATTTGAGCAGATAGGCTTATAGAAAAACTAATTACAGCTAGTCTCCCCATGATTTCTGCATCAAACACTGAGTAGGAAGATTAATGGTCTTAGATAAGTTGTGATGCTTGCATTAGAAGAGTACCAATGTGCCCAGCAAAACAAACTCAGCCAAACGGATCCTAAGACCAGTAAGTAAAAGCACCCAAAGCTTAACTGACCCACTGTGGTGGCGGCAAAATTCTATATGTCAATGTGAGTGAGTGAATATGAGAGAGAGGGAGAAAGGCAGAGACAGAGACAGAATAAAAATGAGAATACAACAGTAAAATTCGTGTACCCAAGGCCTAAACAGACACTTTTGTTGGTCAAATCTTCATTTTTTTTTTTTTTTTTTTTTTTTTTTTTTTTTTTTTTTTTGAGTCGGAGTTTCGCTCTTGTTACCCAGGCTGGAGTGCAATGGCGCAATCTCGGCTCACCGCAATCTCCGCCTCCTGGGCTCAGGCAATTCTCCTGCCTCAGCCTCCCGAGTAGCTGGGATTACAGGCACGCGCCACCATGCCCAGCTAATTTTTTGTATTTTTAGTAGAGACGGGGTTTCACCATGTTGACCTGGATGGTCTCGATCTCTTGACCTTGTGATCCACCCGTCTCGGCCTCCCAAAGTGCTGGGATTACAGGCGTGAGCCACCGCGCCCGGCCCCAAATCTTCATATTTTCAAGGAAAGTAGGCTTCAAGCAACATACTAGTTACTATTTTTTTTTTTTTTTTTTTTTTGAGACAGAGTTTCGCTCTTGTTACCCAGGCTGGAGTGCAATGGCACGATCTCGGCTCACCGCAACCTCCGCCTCCTGGGTTCAGGTTATTCTCCTGCCTCAGCCTCCCGAGTAGCTGGGATTACAGGCATGCGCCACCATGCCCAGCTAATTTTTTGTATCTTTTAGTAGAGACGGGGTTTCACCATATTGACCAGGATGGTCTCGTTCTCTTGACCTTGTGATCCACCCACCTCGGCCTCCCAGAGTGCTGGGATTACAGGCTTGAGCCACCGCGCCCGGCCACTAGTTATCATTAAAATAGGAATATCTATTTATCACTATAACTCTGTTATAGTGATAATGAGAGAGGCAGTAGTTCTGGGGCATTAGGTCAGAACTCTGTGTTGCTCCAAGCATTCGGTAGTTTATAAAATCGAAAACATATGTATGATGTGAAAGATAGAGCCAAAGAGATACACAAAGACAGAGACAGACAGAGACAGAGAGAGAGAGACAGACAGAGAGAGGTGGAGACAGACAGAGACAGAGAGACAGAGACAAAACAGAGAGACAGAGACAGATCAAGAGACAGAGACACAGACTGAGAGACAGAGAGACTCAGAGACAGAGAGCTATACACAGAAAGAGACAGAGAAAGAGAATCAAAGGGTAGTTTCCATTTAAGGTTTAAATAGAATATCACTAAACCCATCAGAATTATGAAATATGTTAAAGGGAAGGTTCACAGTATTAACAATGTGAATAGAATTAATGTCACTGAACTGTACACTTAAAATGGTATTTCATATTATGTATATTTTACCAAAATTTAAAGAAAAACAATTCCGCCTCCCCCTGAAAAAAAAGTACTATAACCTCATTAAAAGACATCACATATTGGCTTAAAGCTCTAAACTCTTATTTTGATGTCAACTATTTCCATGTATTAAACAAGGAAAAAATTTTTCCTGTGGTTTTGAGGTAGTTTCCAAGATTTGCCACTCAGATTTATAAAACTTTACATAAATATTTCAATGGCATGGTAAAAGTATGTCAGGATACCTTTCCCCTTAGTCCCAAAGTTCATGTGGGGCTCCTGGGATTCAATATCACAGTTCCACAAAATTGCAAGCAAAGTACATTTAATTATTAGGCTCATAAATAAGCCCTTCTTTCATGTATTCACCATGAGTTAGTATTAAATGGACTGATTGATTTTCTTACATTTTTAGCCACTTACTCTTACAAGATGAAACTGAACAATAAAATGTATCAGAAAAAAATACTATAAAGGACAAAACATTGAACGATAATATCAATGCTCAATTTTATCACTTACTAAAAGTAATGGAGTATTTAATGACTCTGTTTTGTAGTTGAGTTATTATAAAATAACCTAGTTATACTAGATTGTCTGTTTGGACCATTATATATCTACGTATTTTTATGCTAAAGTAACCATTGCATTCAAAATATTAAAACATTTTAAAGTATTCATTAAAATATTTATGTAAATGCTAATTTAGGGTTTATAATTATAGTTATAGGTGAATCATGTTATATTTTCTAAAATCCATGCCTCCAGAGAAGCTTGTAATAAACAAAGGTAAAGCTAAAACATTCCAAAGGAATCAGATCTGCTTTACCTACCTAGAGGCAGAACACTCCAAAGAGATTTCCTCAGGGTCATGATGTATATTCCTTGGGATAAAGTACAGCTCCGTTTGAAAAAGGAGCGTTTCCTCAGAAATTACCTAGGGAGAGCACAAAGTTTAAGTGAAAGATATTTGGAGTAGCAGAGGAGAAATACACACCCTTGAATAGGATGGAAAAAAACATTCACGATCTCAAAAATGGCTACTGTTGTTCTTAGGTAAAAATGAAGATCTGACAACTCGCTGGGAAAGAAGAGGAGTGTTATCCCTCACAGTGAATTTTAAATGCCTGGGGGCAAAAAAAATCCTAATTCATTGCAGCAAGTTTAAATTGCCACTTATAGACATCTTTATGATTCATTAATGAAAAGGTTTCCGACAGTTCTTTTGAGAAAGGTGATTTGGAAGTCAAATGACAGAGTGGTTTAAAGCACAAGCTTTGGAGAGTGTTCATTCTGGTCTGGCATCTAAACTACTACCAACAAGCTGTGTATCCCTGGAAAAATTGGCAAAGCACCTTCTGAAGCTCCAAATTCCTGATTTCTAAAAGGCAATACCTTATTCAAAAAGGAATGTTATAATAATTAGTCCCTGGTCCAAAATATTTGTGTAGTATGAATATACATTGTTTAAATTTGGGAATCTATGAGAAGATAATATCCTAAGACAACATTGCAATTTAGGATTTGTGCATAGCTGAATAACCAACAAGAAATTTCATTTCCATGAAAATCCGATCCATATATTGACACAAATCCTCATGGAACATGGACAGATTTCAAATGGCCTAACATTGAACATGATACAGCTTCCCGAGATTGGTGACCTTCCACATTAGAAGAATTAAATAAAATTTAAAGCCATCTACTAATATTTAGTAAAATATGATAGCAGCCTAAAGGCAACTTAGAATCAGTTCCCTAGCCAATCTATAAATCTGTGATCTAAGGTCCTGTGCACACAAAATGACCCAATATTCAGTGAGGAATAAATGAGAAATTCTGTTGTCCTCTACCCATAAATTATGTTAACAAGGAACAAAGATTATTTTTTAAAAAGATAATTGTAATAATGGGCATAAAAGTCTGACAAAACATTTAGTATTTTTACAAACAATCACTGTCCTCACCCTTGTCCTGATGCCACAATCATGAACAAGATATATAAACTCATATACATATGTTTGTATCCGATTTGCAGGACAGCCCATTCCCAGATGTAACTCATCTGCAAATATATACAGATTTCTGCTTTCTTCAAGTGGGACAACTGAAACCATCAACCAGTCCAGAGAGCAATTTATTTTCACTGTGGAAAGAACCATATGAAAAGCATCAGAAGTGTGTCTATCTTAAGTGTTCAAAGAATATTCAACTCTGTCTTTGTGATAAATAAAAGGGGTTTTTTTCCCTCTAGCAAGGGTAACCATGGCTTAAGGTTTTCATATTAACATTATTAACATTGTTTTCCAAAATATCTAACTAATTATGTCCCCAAGTCACCAGATTTCAGTAATTTCGTGGGGGACGTAGGAGGATCAACATGCAAGGATGAGAAAAAGCATAACCGTAGAGCCCCTTGCTTTCTCATAAATAAGTTATATTCCATGGAGGCTGCCATATTTAGGACAAAACATAAGGGACAGAAGTAAATTGCAATGCATTAGAATAAGAGTGATATCATCCCAGTATACTTTTTGGAGAGAGAGAGGTGAAAGGGTGGTTCTTGAATAGAATTCATGTCTAGAGCAGCCACAACCAGAAACAGCCTCAGCAATAAAAGGAAATAGTCTGAAGAGAGAAAACCCGTTATCTGGGATGTTAGTTTCATGCAAGTTTTGTTGTAAAACCCATCTTTACCGTCTATATTTAAATCATCAGTAAGTCAATAATAATCATTATTTGTAATAGATTCCATTTGGAGGAACTGAGTGTTTTCTTCATAAAAAGTACATACTTATATTATTAATGAGCAAGTGGCCACAGAGGATTCCACCTCCCCTGGAGCCTGGCTGTCTTGCCTTTAGAGAGAAATCATCATCAACGATGTAAGACAATGTACATTTCAGAAAAGGTGGTGTAAAGAAGGCATGTGTTCCACATTAGTGATCACAACCTTTAAATCACGTCTCTCCATGTGTTTGAAATACTGTACTCACATCGCCTAGGAAAGATGATGAGGACGGTCCTTCTGAAAGGAAAATAAATTCCAGCAGCTGAGATTAAAGATGGATGGAAAGGATAAGTAGACATGGACACACAGGAAACTCATACTTCTGATTTCACTGCATTTTTTCACACCATCATTAGAAAGTCGAGTCTTTTTGTTTTTGAGACAGTTTCGCTCTTTCACCCAGGCTGGAGTGCAATGGCGTGACCTCAGCTCACTGTAAACTCCGCCTCCCAGGTTCAAGAGATTCTCCTGCCTGAGCCTCCTGAGTAGATGGGATTACAGGCACCTGCCACCACGCCTGGCAAATTTTTGTATTTTTAGTAGAGGTAGGGTTTCACCATGTTGGCCAGGCTGGTCTCAAACTCTTGACTTCAGGTGATCTACCCGCCTCAGCTTCCCAAAGTGCTAGGATTACACGTGTGAGTCACCGTGCCGGCCAGAAAGTCAAGTTTTAGTTTGACATTCTCTCAAATAGCTGAGAAAAGCCTGAGGAACACACATAGATACTTTCACTGCAGCAGAACCTTCCTTTTGCTCAGACTTCGTGGAAGATAGTCCGGCCTGAACTCCTTACCCACCCTGGATAGCCAGAATTCATGGTCACCCTTTCTCTCTATGTGCTATTCATTTCAATAATTAACTGTTATTTGGTGAGCTGCACTGATCTAGGCATTCTTAAGATTCATCTTTGGTAAAATGGAAAAAGATCAGAGGCTATATGTGGTCTTTTCTCCCAAAGGGATTACAGGCCAAATGGATAAGAAATTGACATATCGGTTTCAAAGAAAGACCCCATTTCAAGTAAACAAACAAAAGGAGAAATCTACCAAAAAAAAAAAAAAAAGAAAGAACACAAAAAGTAATATTGAAATGCTACTTTATAGTAGATGACATTTAGTCAGGCCTTGGAGCTGGCATGCATTTAGATTCCAGGCAAAACAGAAAAGATACATTGGAATCAACTTGTGGACAGCAACAAGCTGACTTAGCTTTATCCTATTAGCTTCGCAGAACCGTTGATGAGTTTAGCATGAGTGAAGGTCAGAGCAATCTTTTTAAGAGAACAAAAGAGCAATAATATCATCATCAAGCAAAACATGAAAAGCCTGGAAGCAAGAAGATCCATTAAGATAAAACCAAATATCTTACAATATGATACAATCAAGCAGTAGTAATTGGCAGTGGGTTTGAAAAGTTAGACTTTTCAAAAGTTAGAAACAGAGCCAAGGACTATTCCTGAAGAACCTCTGTAAATAAGCCTCAAGATGGAGAGAAGACCAAAAAAGAGAGAAATAAAAGCGTGAGAACTGGGACATTTAGGCAGAAAGAAAAAATGTATCCTCTCTATATTGACACAAGTCTACTCGACCTGAAAGCATTTCATCTTCTAGCCAGTTAGAATAAGATCCGATTTCTGCATCGAGTAGAATACTTGCATGGAAAGCGATCATTATGAATAACTCCTTCAAGGAAACATTGTCTAAAACAGGTTATTTACCATGTAAGTTCTCAGCACCAGGCCAAATCAAGACAGCAAGGAGCATCAGCGCTTCTAAAGCCATGGAGACCTTCATCTGGGCAGACCTCCAGCACAGGACTACTTAGGAAACAAGAAGTGACGACTGGTTTAAATGATTTTTATATGGCATCCCATACTCAGCTGCCTTTGTTTTCCTCCTTATTTGGGTAGTTCCGAGGATGCACTTATCACAGTCTCAACTACCTAAGTCTGAGACTCTCTCGATTATCCAAACACTGAAGCTCAAAGGGACATATCAAGAAAAAAGTGTTATTTGATAATAGTCTACACAAACCTGTTACAAACATCAGGTGGATGGCATGGCACACAATGCTTTCAATAAATACTAAATTACAAGAAACTCTTTTTACTAGCTAACATTCAGGTGTAAGTTTCCATCTAATATAAGAACAGCCTAGATCTCATATACATGAAATCAAAAGACTATTATTTTTTCATCTCTATGGGTTTGGCTGGAAGAAGCAAAGCAGAAATGATAAAATGACTTAACCAGGAACATAAATCCCTAGGAGGAGACGGGCACCCAAAGGAAAGTGAAGTCTATTGCTGTTAGGAAAGTTGACAAATCCATCTGTGTTGATTCTTTCTAAATTAAGGTTGCAGTAACTTCAGACATTTCAAACTTTATGAGACAAGAGAATATTTTATATGCATATATAGACACATAACTTTATAGGTATAATAACTGTACATGTATAATTATTTCAACACTTAAGTAGAATAAAAGTTCCAGCCAAAGATTTTTAGTGTATACATATATTTTTTTTCTTAAGATGGAGTCACGCTCTGTTGCCCAGGCTGGAGTACAGTGGCACAATCTCAGCTCATTGCAACCCCCACCTCCTGGGTTCAAGCAATTCTCCTGTCTCAGCCTCCTGAGTAGCTGGAATTACAGGCACCCATCACCACACCTGGCCAATTCTTGTATTTTTAGTAGAGATAAGCTTTCACCATATTGGTCAGGCTGGTCTTAAACTCCTGACCTGTGGTGATCCACCCTCCTCCGCCTCCCAAAGTGCTGAGATTACAGGCATGAACCACTACACCCGGCCTATTGTATTTTTTTAAAATGTTAGTCACAGTCTGAATGTGACTGTGTGGTTTTAAGGGTACTTGAAAATCAGAGGCTAACAGTAAATAAAATTCAGAGTCTGAATTAAATGCCTATTATTGTTTTTAGTCATATCTGAATTATATTTTAATGTTACAATCTGCTGTCAAATTACTGCACGCACAGAGCCTCTCTGTGTGTGTAAGAAGGGCTTCCATTTCTGACATTCTCTTGGGGACAATGAGATCTCCAAAGCTGTGACCCACAAAGGGCTCTGCGTCAGGAAGGCCTGGAGAACCCAGTCATCAACCACCAGTGGGGAAGGATTATTAGAGAAAGAGAAGGGTAAGTCTACATGTTATTTTTTGTCTTCCATTTTTTAAAACATTTTTCTGATATTATGAACATTTTCAGGAGCTAAAATGTATTAACTTCATATGTAGCTTTTAAATCTTGCCTATGTAAACATCTAATATTGTTCCAAAAGGAATCACTGGCCAGTTTCTCGTATTTATGTAAGTTTGAGAAGGTTAGTTAAAAAAGCTAAGGCTCATGTTCACACTCTGTAAAAAGGGGATCTATATTCTCTCTAAATTTATTGTGAATAAGACATAACAAATATAAACAGCCTAGCTCCAGTTAATAGTATAAAAAAATATATATAATATATGACTCTTTATCTTGAAGCACAGTTAGTAAATGGATTTTATGCAATGTTCCAAGGATTATTCAAAGCCACAGAATTAACAAAGTTTATTTTCCAGAAATTCCAATTTTAATACAGAATTTCCCGGTGAAAGAGCAATGGAATTTAAATATAACTTTAATGTAAAATAGAGATAAAGCAGAGATAAAATAAATATGTTAAAACCATTTATAACTTAGGGAAATGTTGCAACTACAGTACAAAAAAAACTCTATTTTTCCTGGCCCTTTTGAGAGTAAGTTGCTGTTAAGATATTCCCTTGACCCTAAATATTTTGAATTATATATCCAACAAATAAGGACATTCTTCTACTACAGTGACTCTCAATAATCGGACCTTAGATGATGGAGGGGTCCATGAGATCGAATCTATTTTCACAATAACACTAACACATTATCTTTTTCACAAGGTTGACATTTGCACAGGTGTGCAAAACCAGTGGTGGGAAACGCTGCTGCTTCTTGAGCACCAATCAAGGTAGTGGCACAAAAATGTGTTAAGTTAGTTATCAGTGTACTCTTCACTACCATACACTCACAGTAAAGGGGAAAAGACAGTTTCACTTAAGTCTCGAAGCAGCAAAAATAATCTGTTTTATTAAATGCCTTGAATGCATGCCTTTTTAGTATTCAGGATGATAAAATAGAAAGCATGCATAACACACTCCTGCTGCATATCAACGTAAGAAGAGTGCCGCAAGGAATATCTGTGCAGTTGTTGGAGCTGTGAGCTAAATTGGTCACTTGTTACACAGAGCACCATCTTTATTTACAGAATGACTAACAGACAAACAATGATTATTTGCCCATGGGTATCTGACATTTTTGACGTTGAATGATGTAAGCTTGTCACTTCAAAGAAGACAACTAACAATTATACCCAGTGATAAAATTCAAGCTTAAAAGAAAACTTAGAACTTTGAAAAAATTGTATTCTGTACTATGAGCTTGGCAGCTCAGTGGTGATACGGCAACTATGATTTCTTGTATTGCGTAGCAAAATGTCATCATTTAAAACATCTGCATAACTCTAAACTAAAATTTTCCAAATTATATGCACATGATGTTACAGAAATATTCATGGGCAGAGTACAAGAGGAATCAGTGGATTTTAATGTAGATAAGTATGAACAGTTTATTGATATATTTTCAGATCCCATGTTCAACAAACCTCGAAGATACTACCCCTCAGCAAGTTTTGGTGTTTTATCAAAAAAAAAAAAAAAAACCGCCACAGCTATCTGAAAAGGCCTTTAAAATGTCTTCTTTTTTCCAACTACATATCTGTGTGAGGCAGAATTTTCTTTATACACATTAACCAAAGTGACATATTACAAAGACCGAATGCAGAAGCAGGTATGAGAATCCAGTTGTCTTCTATTTAGCCAGACAAGGGACTTGAAAAATGTGAATATAAAACAATATCACTCTCTTTTTGGAAAACAGTAATTTTTCCCTAAATGTTCACTATTTTATGTTAACACCTATTGGGTTTATTAGTTATTTTTAATTACTTAATATTTTAACTCAGTTTTAACTTCTAATTTGGTAATTTGGATGGATAAAAGTCATATAAATACAAGCTCTTTTTAATTCAATATTTTTAGTAGTCTAAAGGAGTCCTGACATCAAAAATTCTGAGCAGCGTATATACCCAGAAGAAAGGAAGTCAGTATATTGAAGAGATATCTACACTCCCATGTTTGTTGCAGAATTGTTAACAATAGCTAAGATTTGTTAGCAACCTAAGTGTCCATCAACAGATGAATGGATAAGGAGAATGTGGTACATATACACAATGGAGTACTATTCAGCCATAAAAAGTCATGAGATTCTGTCATTTGCAACAATACGGATCAAACTAGAGGCCATTATGTTAAGTGAAATAAGTCAGGCATAGAAAGACAAATGTCACATGTTCTCACTTATTTGTGGGATCTAAAAATCAAAACAATTGAACTCATGGACATAGAGAATAGAAGGATGGTTACCAGAGGCTTGGAAGGGTAGTGAGGGGATGAGGGGAGAAGGGGATGGTTAATGAATACAAAAAAAGTAGAAAGAATAAATAAGACTTACCATTTGATAGCACCACAGGGTGACTCTGGTCAGTAATAACTTAACTGAACATTTTAAAGTAAAGAGTGTAATCA